TAGGTAACATCATCAGTGTGAGTATGGGTTTTGCTCCCTGTTTATATACAGTAGCTTGGCCTGCCAGTTTTGATGGGGGTGTGGTTTTCTCCTTGGTAGTTCCTTGATTAGGGTATTGTTTTCTGCTTGATTGTTTATCTGGTGTTAATTCCTGCTTATCTGGATGTAAGCTGCTGGAGAGGATGGGTTCTGGTCTTTTTGTTTCCTTAGCATTTTTGGATTTAGCCCTTGGTCTAGGACGCTCACAGTTTGCCAGTTGAAACTATGGTTGAGTCTGTCCATGCGTTGTGAGATTAAGGAGTTTTCATTGTGTCTTCTGCCTGTCTGTCCTACATAATGGCTATTACTGTCCTTATACTGTATGTTGTAGATGACTCTTGTTTTTTCTTCTACTGGGTCTTTTGGTTTACTTAAGATGCTTTGGAGGGCTTTAGTTGGTTTTTGTGCCATGGTGATGCCATATGGTTGTAATAGTTTTTGGTTATTTCTGATAGGTTTTTGATGTATGATAGTGTTTCATAGTTTGTGCTGGTTGTGCTGTAGTGGGCTGAATGGTCAGGCACATTCTGATAAAGTTGCATGGGTATCCATTTTGTTGGAAGTTGTTGTATAGACAGTCTGTTTCCTTTTTCTGGTGTTCTGGGTCACTGTAGTGTATTTGTGCTCATCTGAATAATGTTCTTACACAGTTCCTCTTGTGGGAGACGTTTGGGTTTTTTTAGACAGGTTGTCTTCTTTCAATCTTTCAGAGAATTCACTAAGGCTTGCAAGTGTCCAGATTCAGTCTGCTTTTTTCCTTTTTAACCACAGAATCCCTTCTAAGCTGTCCAATCAATTTAGGATTGATGAATATGATAATATGAAGGTAATTTTCTAGCCATGATTTGTGCTATATGTGGCTTGCCCTTACATCCTAATGTATAGACACTGTGTCTCCCAAAAAGGCTTTGGCATCATGAAAATGCACCCATTAAATTTGTACATACAAAAAAAGTAGTAATGCTTTATCTATTTTGCATTATCATAATTGCTGCTAACACAAGCAATAGTTTTACATTATGTCAATCAAGCTTAGACATATTCATCTCACCTTGTATATTTGAAGTAGCACATCTGTCCAGGCTCGCTTACTCATAGCCTCAAAGATAGAGTCATCCAAAATGTAAATATAACTGTCAACTTGATCAGATTTTTTAATCTTTAAATAAAGATGAAACAATTCTGTTTTACATTTTGGTTTTCTTTTATCTTATACAACAATGAGCTTTTAATATTAACTATCCATCTGAAATATAATTATTATAGATTAAGTTGTTCTGCATATTCTGGTGACATTCAATTTTAATAAAGTAGTAGTAGTAGTAGTAGTAGTAGTAATAGTAATAAATCTGTGGATGCAGAAAATACTGTGCCTAATGTTCTATATGGGACTATAAAAGTGGTATTGCAGTCATACCCACATTTATTTGTTAACTGGATCTACTTTCAAATATGCTTCAGGTTAATAGATTGCTATTTAGGAAAGAGAAAATCTCATGTATTTTCAGCAGACAGCCTTATACAAATCTGTACATTTCCTTCCTCATGTAGGTTTCATTGAAGCACTACATTCTGGCCATCACTTGTAAATAACTCACAACAAAAATAAAAAGCGGTAGCTATACAGTAGAAAATTTAAAAATTATACTATTAGTTATATTCATACCACCAAGGAAAAGATCCTTTTTAATTATATTATTATTATACTAAGTTTAAGATTGAAAAATACGAAGTTCGGCTAGATAAATTACCGTCAACATAAGCTGTAAATGGGTCCATATTGTATAATCTTCAAAGTCAAGAAGAAACTGAGGCATAATGTGGGAAAGAGATGCTCCTTGACTCCTAATATCAACATCCAAACAAAATGAAAAAAAATTAGAAACAATGTAAAATATTGGAAAAGAATGACCCTTTCTTCAACTTCCTGTGAATGCACTAACTTCACGGGTTTTTTTCCATAGCCATAAGTATGAAATATGATAAACATGACATTCTCCAAAAGAGATGCTAAACATATGATTTCTTCCCACAAGAACATTTATCCCTCTTGAGCAGAGGAGTAGCCTGTTGCAGGATTTCATAACCACAGAATAGGAGTCCTGAGAATACTTGGGAATAAAAACCATTGAACTCAATAGGATTTTCTATAGGATAAGTATGTGCCATTTTCTTTTCTTCTCGTTTCCATCCTGAATTGTACTTCCCTTTCTCATCTCTTCCCAGTTCAGTCCTCTCTCCCCTCAATTTATCATCAACTTCCTATTTACTGCAAAGGAAGGAAGGAAGGAAGGAAGGAAGGAAGGAAGGAAGGAAGGAAGGAAGGAAGGACGGAAGGAAGGAAGGAAGGACGGAAGGAAGGAAGGAAGGACGGAAGGAAGGAAGGAAGGACGGAAGGAAGGAAGGAAGGACGGAAGGAAGGAAGGAAGGACGGAAGGAAGGAAGGAAGGACGGAAGGAAGGAAGGAAGGACGGAAGGAAGGAAGGAAGGACGGAAGGAAGGAAGGAAGGAAGGAAGGAAGGAAGGAAGGAAGGAAGGAAGGAAGGATATACAGTATGTACTTCCATATGTTTTATTAATTTTACAAATTAGATAATTAACATTATTTGCCTGTGAAATAAGTTAACAACTTTTAATTGAATTAATATTAATTTTATATTTTTGTCCTTACCTTGCCCATTTATGGAGTGTGGCCTCTGGCCAGTGTGTCTATACAAAGATATATATATGTCTTTTTTTTTTTTTTTTTAGTTCAATCTCAAAATTAATATCATTTCTTTTTGGGAAGATCCAGTATGATATTAGCACTTCAGTGAAAAATGTATTGATCTGGAAAAGTTTTGAAACTATATGCAACTTATACTAGTATTTTCAAAGCACATACTTGAGAAAAGTGATCATTGTAGAATGTTGCCAGTGAAGTTGCACCACTCGCTGGATGGGATCAAAAGGCAAAGCTTGACTTGAACTAATTCCAGGCAATAATTGTCCACTTAAATGAAGCAACATGTCATAAATTGTCTTGATATCCTTGCTAAGATTTAGTTTAAGTTTTTCATCTGATGAAGTCATTTGAATTTTACAAATATCACTAGACAGAGAATAGAAATAAATCCATTTTATTACTAAAAACAAGATAATATTAAAGAACCTCCTAGTGGATAACTTATTATTTTTGTTGTATTTATGATGGTTGGTCACACAGTCAGCCAGATGTTTAGACTGGATTTGGGATTTTATGTACCTATTGAGTCCTTCCTAAGGACCTGGGATAGGCAGATGTTGTTTGATGGTGTTAAAGGTATCATCACAGGATA